CGGCAGCTCCCTGAAGATAAAATAAAGTCCTCCCCGCCTTGCCCCTGTCCCAGAGGTGTGTCTAGCATCATTGAAGGGCGTGTGAAAGTGTGCCTCCGACAAATCATGTGGGATTCAGTCGATATTGGTCTACAATGGATGTCCGTGGATCCAGTCTTTGTTCGTGTGTCCGTAGGTTGGATCCTTCCGATCTACGCAGTGACAATTGATGTTTTGGTGCGTTGGTCATGTGGGGCCTTAGTACGCCATCTTTCTGAATATCTATTACAACAAGTTTTGTTTGGCTTTGGCGAGGCAGGGGCAATGACGGCAGCACTCCTTCGACTCGCTCTGGTGCATGTCGTCGCTAAGGTCTATGAATCTAGATATAATTTTTATTATTTCTGATATTTTTTGTATTGCCATGACAAACGATAAATAGATGTGAAATTTTTCCTGCAAAAGATATTAATAATATGAAGTATTTGCATTTACGATAACTTGGTAAAGATGTTCCTGTAGGCGGCTCATTCGACCGCAAAGGCAATGACTCATGCCAGATATGCGAATGGGATGACTTTGTTTGCATGCATGAGAGATGCCGGCCAAATATCACGTCTGCTGACTTGGTCTCCCTCAACCAATTTTTTTTAGAACGAAGGCTCAAGAAAGAGCCCGGCTTTAAATTAACAAAGCCATCAACCGGTCAGGCATTACAGAGAACCAACGAGGCAAACAAAGAAGAAAAAGATACAAGGAACTGATGGAGCAGCTTACAACGCAACACACACTAACAAGCACAAAAAATCGGAAAATGGAGCAGAGCTTGCTAATGTCGCTGCCCACTACACTAAGGGCCAGGACAGCTAGACAGAGTAGATAGCCAAGGATCAGCCGGCTGCTAAGGGCAGGACCAAGATAGTGTCTGTACCATCAGGCGGAGAAGGGACAGCTCCTACCTCCTCAGATGCCAAAGAGGGCCCCTGCCCTCTCGTCCTGGCTCGAGGACGCCGCACCGTCGGCAAGAGAGACGCTCACCCGAGAGCTAGAATAGGAGCCGGCTTCACGGCCACTTGTGAAGAACACGTCGCCTGACCTGCACGAAGCCAAAAGCACACCACGCCAGCTACCACGCCGCCGCCCGCGGACACCCAGCAAAGAGGGAAAGCCACTTGGGGCAATCGAAGAGGATGAAACAGCACCGAGCCAAACCACAGCAGCGAGCATCACGACAGCAAAATCAATCGCCGCAGAGAAGAACCGGGTACTCAACAACACGGCTGCCAGCCCCGCCGGAGAGAAACCACCAAAGGGGACGCCGGATCTGTAAATCATGGCATCGCTAGCCGCTGTAGAGAGGACAAACCAGCTGCCAGACGCCTCCACACCAAGGCAACACTCACCCAAACCTGCAGCATCCCCAGGCGGCGTCTCCATGGAGAGCACGACGCGCACGGCGCCGCCGCCGCCCAATCTGGAGAGGATTTGAGCTTTCGCTCGGGAGCAAGGTAGGGGGTGGGCAAGGAGGGTCCTCAACGGCGCCTCCAGGAAGGAAAGCGGCGCCCTTGGGCGTCGTCGCCGCCGAGGCCGGACCAGCCGGCCTAGGGTTTCCCCCGGACCCAGACCTGAGCCACCAGCCCCTCACCAGCCAGCGTGCAGGCAGCCAAGGCCGCCGGACACCATGGATGGGGAGGAGGAGTGAGCCAGAGAGGTGGAGGAGTCATACCTTCAGATCTGGCGAAGAAGAAGGCCTCCCGCCGCGACCACCAACCACCAGGGCCTCGCCGCCCGGACGGCCGAGGAACCTGGCCACCAGCACCAACGGAGGCCGCCAGCCGAACGCCGACGCCTCGCCACCTGGGGCCGCCGCCCCGACGACCGCAGCCCTCCGCGAGAAAAACGGAGCGGCGAGATCCCCGCCGCCACCGTCACCGGCGGCCACGCGGGCTTGCCCGGCGACCTCCTCGGGTGGCGGCGAGGGAGATAGGGGGAGGGGTGGGGGTGGCGGCGCGGAGAAACCCTAGTCGCCACCCGAGCCGCCCGAGCGGACGGCGCGGGGGCTGGGAGGGGTCGAACTAAGCATATTGTTCCTTTTCCCTCAACCAATTTGGCGACAACAATTTCTTCTACATCTCCCTCTACCATAGCTTGAGTTCCTGCCAATGTCGGTTAACGGACGACCTAGGTGCATCAAGGGGTCGTGTTGCGTTGCCAACATGATAAACCTAGACGCATGGACATGGACCCTTTACAGGACTTTTACAAAATCTTCTTCTAACTACCCCTGCCCCCCCCCCCCATTTTCAGCCGGGATGGGCCCCATCCTCCCCTAATTTTAAATCTTATTGGTCCATAGTTGATAGTCTGTTAAACCCGTAAAAAGAACTCCTCGTTGATGTAGCAAGCTCAAGGAATCGACTGGATTTGCTAGAACAAGTTCAAGATTTTCTCAGATTAATATTGGACCGACACATGTTATTCTAGCCACCTACGTTGTTGTCGAACCACCTTGGCGCACCTTCATACCCGGTTGTCACCATACGTACGACACATTTGGTCCATTTGTTGTGTTCATATTGTTAAACCATTAGAATGTTAAATTGTTAGATGAATGTTAAAAATATACATAACTAGAGAAATATGTTAAATTTATTTAAAAAATCCACATGACCTTCACTAACAGTGAATCAAATTGGGTGCCAGAAAATTGACGAATCAACATTTTCCAAAACATTGACGCTCATATATATTTTCATGAAAAAGGAACCACACAGCGCAATACACATATCACAATTTTTTCCTTGGCTTGATGGTTGTTACCACATGCATGTCATACACACATAATCATTCATACATACATGAAGAAATTGAAAACAATGTGGAGCCTTTTCATAGGATGACGTGGCTCCTATCCATGCTTCAAGATTTGTGCTATGAATCGGACGACAACCAAAGCGTTCGCGCCCAGATTTTTAGCGTTTGGGTAAATTATTGGGTGGCAAAAGAAACCCATCAAAACAAACTATTATGGATTCTAATTTAGAAGGATGCGTCTAGGGAGCACCCGGGTGCTCCCTAGCGTTCCGTGGCATCCACCCCAAATATAGCATATTCCAATCCACCTTTCCAGGAAAGGAAAGCACTTCCTGGTCCCGTGAGCAACCATCGCCCCGATTCCCGCAACCAACCATCGAGCGGGCGAAACTCACCTGGTCCCCCCCCCCTCTTCGCCCGATCCCTCTCCCACCCCTGCGCGTCTTCTTTCCCCCTTCTTTTCTCCTCACCTAACCCCCAGCCCCATCTTCTTCTCTCCCAAGCCAAGGACAGCACGCCCCTTCTCCCTCACCACTTCCAGATCCAGAAAACCTTCACAGCCCTCCAATGGCTGCTCCATTGGTGTTTCTTCTCTAGGCAAAATCAAGGTGCCTTGTTCCTGATTGCCTGGCAAGAAGGCAAAAAAGCAAGGCAAAAAAGGTCAGATTTAGCTCATCTTCCTGATTTGTACAAGGCTTCACTTATGCAAAAACATTGTGCAAAAAAAAGATGTGATGTTAAGCATGTTTAGTCTGCTGTTTAGGCAAGTTTTAGCCCCCTGGTTTGGGCAAAATTCAGTCTGATGTTAAGCATGATATTTCTTCCCAGATTTCAGAATCTATTTACAAATCTATTGCGTGTGAATACATTTATATAATCTGTAGGCAAGTGCTGATAGTAAATGCTGGGGACAAAAAAAATTAGAAAAATATAATGCCTTAATCAAGAAAAACAACTGAGCAACAAACAGTACTTATTAAGACGATGAGAAACAACTGATCATGATCTATTTCTGATGTATTCCTGTTCACTTGATTGCTTATAACAGTGCAAAAAAGACATTCTGTTTGGGCAAAAACAGTGCTATGATGAGGCAACTAAGTGTATGTATGCACAAAAACTTTGAAAAACTTCTGCCATGACAAAACATGAACACTTTTGAAACTTATAAGACAATGATATACTGACATCGCTATGGTAAGAGAAAGGGAAAACTAGAGAAAGATTCCCCTTGGTTTCAGTATTGAAAAAACGCTAGAAGAAAATAAATGTAACTAAAATTGGAACTAAAACACAAAGAGACAGTTGCATAGTACAATTTACCTTTGTTGTATCATATCCTTCACCATGGTCCAAGAAAAAGCTGGAAAGTTGCCAGGATACAGTGGCAAAATTATTAGTATTTCATCCTGCAAAAAGGGGGAAAAAGCCAACAAGAAAATCCATATACCAACAGCTATCTCAGCGACGAAAACGTTACTTCAAAACATGCTGAGTAGTCTGAAACACACAAACTTGCTGCTGTAAAAAAGATGAAACCTAAAACAGTCAACTTAAGTTCTTTCTAACACACAAAAACATAGGTACTGAAAAGCAGGAGTAGTCTGAACATAAAAGAGCAATCATGCCCATAATTCTGACTTAAGTTTTTCCTAACACTAAACATCCTCTAATCTGTCTGGTTTGGGAGTGAAATCCATTGTGAATGCAATTCAAAGTAGCACTTCCATGGCAGTATGCTTGCTTCCCCCGGAATCAACTGTTGCCTGCGTTTAAGAAAAAACAAAATAAGACCAAGTGCACAAAAACATGATTCATACAAAACATGAAAACATGCATATCCTGAAAAAATAATATATTGCCTGACATATATATTTGACTTGCCTGATTATATGGTTTGGGTTGCCTGATGGTGCAAATTGAATTGGCTGCTTAATGTTCAATTGCTATCTTATGAATCTCGTGTGCTTGCGTTGCTGAGTTGTTTGCTTGCGTTAGTGTGGTACTAGCTTGCCTCAACAACAAAAAAATGCTTTAATTTTTCTGGTTGAAAAAATGCACAGGTTGAACATGATTGAGCTATTTTTGTGTGCTTGGGGCAGGTGTGCTATTGGCTTGCCTGAATTTACTGTGCTACTTGCTTCCATCCCTCTGCTGACTTGCTTTACTTTTTCCCATATTCTCAATAAAATAAACACAGGTTGGCGATGATTGACCTAAATGAGGAACCAGCTGAAAATAATGATGATCCTTTGTACTGTACACAACATGCTACTGGAAATGCAGAACTTGTGGCGGAATCACCTAATCCCCCTATCATACAAAGACTGGATAGTGCTGCTACAGAAGCAATGGAGACGGATCAGCAGTCCAGTCATGGGGGGCGTGCTCCGGGCAGTACACAAGTACCTACAGCTGTAGCAGCTGGTAGTGATGCTCATACCCTTGATGGCACAGGTGCTGCGGGTGATACCGGTGGCACTGTTGGTAATGGTTTGGGTGCTGAAAATGATGATGAAGCTTGGTCACAGCCCAAGGAGCCTTACGTGGGCATGAGATTCGACACTTTGGAAGATGCCAAGGTGTATTACAATGCATATTCCTTGCAGATGGGGTTTTCAATCAAAATGAATAGTTCAAGGAAGGATATGAAGACTGGGGAATTGATAAAACAGCAGTTTGTTTGCAACAAGTTTCGAAAGCCTGATGTTGATGACGAAGGAGCAGAGAAGATTCCCGTGCTAGATGACATTGTTGAACAAGCAAAAGATGATAATGAAGATGAGGCTATTGTCTTTCTTGATGATGATAGTAAGGGCAAAAAAAGCAACAAGAAACGAAAAAGAGATAAAATTGTACAAACTGGTTGCAAAGCTAAGATGATTGTGAAGGTAATAGATGGCAGATGGGAGGTGATCTACTTTGTTAGCGAACACAACCATCCGTTGATTGACAAACCAGGTTTGACTAAGTATTTGTGATCACACCAAGGGATACCGCCAGAAGAAAGGGCCTTCCTTACTCACCTTCATAACTGCAATTTGACTACATGTTTTGAAGCACACCCACCTCCCCCCACTATCTTCCAACTTTAAGAACTTGGACATGCCTACTGGTTTTGTTGTTTCTTAGCCCATCAACAAGTTGCTTGATTTTGCTTGAAACATGACACTAATTTGCTTCAAACATAGGCCTTAGTTGCTTTATATTGACACTAAATTGCTTATAACAGTACAAAAAGAGATAAAATGCCTAATTTGTTTCTGGATGCTGGACTTGCCTAATGTTTACATATTTCTTGCTCAATTCAAAAGTTCCTACTTGCCTACTTTTTTTATAAAATAAATTTGGTGTTGAACCTAAACTTGCTCACTAAAGCATAGTTACCCCCCCTGGTTTGTTTTGTGTATTTTGCTCATGTGTTGCCTGAGGCATACGGTTATAGTTGCTTGTATGGCTTCATGAATTGCCCAAGCTTTGCATTTGAGTTGCCTTGCTGGAAAAAAAAGAAGCTGTTTTTGGCGCTGTTTTTGTGTGGATAAAGGATTGACCACCATTGTGACTTTCTTGTCAACAGGTCGTATGATGCACATCATGTCAGATTTCTATGGGACAGAACTCATTGTACCTTATAGCACAAAACACATTACAAACCTCAAGACGCTCTTGAACAAGGATGATACAAAAGAAGGGGATATGATAGAGACAGTTGCTTACTTTAAAGATCAGCAGAGGGAGGATCCAGATTTTTTTTACAAGATAAAATATGATGAGGAAGACAGGGTTGAGAATATTTTCTGGGTCGATGGTGCAGCAAGGAAGGCGTACGTGGAATCTTATCATGATTGCATCTCCTTTGACATGACATATATGACTAACATGTACAACATGCCCTTTGCACCATTCATTGGGATTAACATGCATGGGCAGTCATTCATGTTGGGCTGTGGGTTTGTTAGGCAAGAGTTGGCGTCAAGCTTCGATTGGCTATTCGAACCCTTCCTTGAGGCAATGCATAATGTAGCACCCACCAACATCATAACCGACCAAGACATCGCAATGGCACAATCGATTAAAAAGATCTTTCCTACAAGTGTGCACCGCTGTTGCCGCTGGCATATTATGAAAAAGGCACAAGAAAAGCTTGGAGCATTGCTGGGGCGAAACCCTGGCTTATCCAAAGATTTCAACACCTGTGTTGACTTTAGCTTGACGCCGGAAGAATTTGAGGCAGGGTGGACTGAGCTGATGATGAAGTATGAGGCTATGACTGACTCTCACTTTGAGAATCTATACAAGTACAGAGAGACATGGGTACCCTGCTACTTCAAGCACCGATTCTTTCCTTTCTTGCAGTCAACTCAACGCAGCGAGGGGTTCAATGCTGTCCTTAAGCGATATGTGAACCCACACAAGTCAATTCTGAACTTTGTGAAGCAATATCAGAAAATCCAAACACACATACTAGTACGGGAGGGTTCAAAGGACTACAGGATAGCACATTTACAGACTGAAATGTGGTCATCTTACCCAATAGAGGAGCAGGCGTACAGATCGTATACTAGGGACTTGTACGAGAAGTTTCGTGATGAGTTTCAGTTGACTACAAGGTACAATGTGCGACCACATGGTGAAAACTTATATGAGGTTTGCCCCAATCAAGAGTGGGTTGCCAAATATGGTTCTAGGGGCTATTTTGTCATGGTCGAAGCTAGTGCTGGAGACTACAGGTGTGACTGCTGCAAGATTCAGAGGGACGGCATGCTTTGCTGCCATATCTTGAAAGTTTTCAACCAACTTGGTGTTGATGAAATCCCAGCGCAGTACATACTTAGAAGATGGACACCTATGGCAATCCCCAACGCACCCCCTGCTGTCGAAGACCAACCTGATGAGATGCCACCACAGTCGAAGAAGGAACTCAGGCATGCAAATTTGATGATGGATTTTGGTAGTCTTGCCCGGGTTGCTAGTGCATCAGATGCTGCAATGGATATTGTAAAAAAACATATGCATGGTGCACGTCATGAAATCAAAAATCTCAACATGTCAAAGAAGAAGAAAACAGCAGCACCAAGAAGTGGGCCCTCTAGTGGTTCTGCGCCACCATCAGCTGGAGGTTCTGCGCCACAGCTAAGTAACTCTCAGGCGACTGCTGGCCCTGCGGTGCGTCCTGAAGGGCCTGCGGTGCGTCCTGGATCTAGACAACAACAACATACTACTGCGCCACCGTCGAGTAACACTCAGGCAACTAGTGACCCGGCGGTGCGTCCTGGGGAACTTGCACAAACCTCTTCTCGACCTATGCAGCAGCGATCTAGTTCTGCACCGCAGAGAAAAAAGGCACCAAAACTAGCTGGCAACTCTATGAGTGAGGATGGACACCAACAAACAGCGTTCAGGGCTGCAGTGATGCACAGTGGGACTGTACCACTACCCAGGAGCCCTCCCGCACAAAGCTGCTGGCCTGTATAGCAACTGTCGGGATATGTGCCACTAAACAGTGGAGCAGCACCGCACCTTTCAATGACAAGGCCTATGCAAGCGCTAAGAGGAGCTGCGCCACAACTTTTGATGCATACAACACTAGCAAGAGGTCCTGCGTGACCTCCTGTGGGTCCTACACCAGCAATTTGGCCTGCACCACAAACTATGGGGGCTGTACAACCACCACGGGGGCCTGCCGCGGCAAACACAACCTATGTGGCTATTCCTGGACTGGCACCATCGCCTGCATCATCATCAACAGTTGATGGCAGGTATGGACAGCACCCAGGTTCTTCAACTACACAAGAAGAAAATGACAATGCAATTCCATCTCCTATTGTGCAAGCTCCTGGTGGACATGCGCACCAGCCCCTCAGTACGACATCTCTACATGCAGCTGTTGCTGCCGCACAAGGTACTACGATGGTTGAACCACAGTTTGGAAGACCTAGTACCACACTTGGCCCTGTACTTCCTAGAGACCCTCCAAAATCAACAACAAAAGGGAGGGCAAAGTCAAAAAGAATTCAATCAGCACTTGAACTGCATCCGAAGAGAAAGAACAAGTGCAGCTATTGTGGTTCTGTTAACCACAATGGTGGAAGCTGCCCGACCAGATTGGTGTAATGGTCAAACAGTGACCAGATGGCTGAAAAGATGTGTCGAATGAAATTAACAAATTAAACTATTTGTGGGTCTGTATGTTTGAACATCCTAAACTATTATTTTCTGGTTTACAGTTTCTTCTGGCTAACTTGCCTCACACTAGAGTTTTAGTTGCCTGGTTATAAGTTTTGAGTTGCCTATTTGTGTGCTTTGAATTTTCCCGTAGACACCCTTGATCTCCTCATAATGGTCGAAAAACTTACATACACAAGATTCTGCAATGCTAAAAATGCAACAATTCCCTGGTTATGTAATGATCATATTATTTGTCTTTTATGGGTTATTCTGAACAACTTGCCTCGTGGTAAAGCTTAAATTGCATGTTTATGCAATTGAGTTGCCTGCTCCAAGATCTTATGCAGGCAACTCCCCTCCCCTCCCCTCCCCCACCGGCACTCCAAAAGTTCATAAAAGGAGCAAAAGAAAAGAACACATGAATTTACATGGGATGTAGTGTGCGTGAGGGGAAAAAACTGACCTATGCTAACTTGAGTATGCTTTTCCATGGAGCCTTGTTGTTGGCGTTGTCAACCCACGCGTTAGTCAACTATTTCCTTATGCTTGGAATGTCCTCCGCTGTGAAATTTGGAACAACCCTTGCCTCCCATCCATTTGCTATCGTCAGAGCAAAAACACCACAGTCGAACCTAAACAAAAAATTGAAAAAAAGAACTTTTCTAGTTAGCTAGCTTCTTCTATGTAGTAGCTAGCTTCCTCTATGTCATTTGTAAAAAACTAAACAAAACCATAGTTAATATGTGAAAAGAAGTGGTTGCTTACTCATTGTTCTGTTTTGGAACGTCGATGTTGGTAAGCCCAAAGTCATCCAGCGAGACACGAGAACTGGCGTAATGCTCTTCCCATAGACACCGGAAACTTGCAACCATTTTCCTAGCGCAAACATCTAGAGACTTGTTTTTTAGCGTCCTCCAAGAATCAAGAGCTTCGAAACGTCGATCCCTTATGTTCACGTTAAAAATCCAGTAATGATTGCCTGTTTTAGGCTTTGTCTTGTCAATGTTCTCTAAAACTGGGAACATAATCTGTTAGAAAAAAAACAAAATGGGGTTAGTATAAAAAAATAAAATACTAGAAGCTGGAATTAAGCAACTTTTTCTGTTGTGCTCTCGCAAAAAAACAACATGGACTGAAGAAGCGTACATGCACATGCAAGTTTGGTACTTGTGTGAGTAATTTGCCAAGAAAACAGAAAGATGCATAGGCAATGTTATGTACTTATGTAAGCAACCATCTAAGAATGCACAGGCAAGTTATGGACATATGTAAGCAACTTGTCACAGAAAGCAATTTCATGGGCAAAAGTTTTAGCATAAAAGTCATATATAATGCATTGGTAAAAAGTAAAAAGAAACAATTGACTTACCATGTCTTTACGGTCCAAGCGATTCGACTTCTTGAACCGGGAAATGAGCTCCTGGCCGTTCAATTCCATATTTTGCATCTGAACCTGGTGTAAAAAGAAGAATACAGACATGACCATGACCTTTTATGAAAAAAGAAAAAGAAAGAAACGCAAAACTACACTGTTAGTTGCTTCGTGTTTTCTTACCGAGAACCTCACTGGCATCACGAGCTTCTTTGATTCTGGTGGCAAGTTCATCATTATACTCTCTATACCAACTTCCATTACATGGCTCACGACAAAACCTCCCTTCTTCATTGAGTTTGCGAGCTCCCTGACAGTGACAAAGTACTTGCCATATTCAATTACCCTTAGGCTGCATGAAAAAGAGAGAGGCATATTCAATTACAGAAGGATTTTCAGCTCACAAAAAATCCTTCTGTAATTTGCCTACCACCATTTCAA